ACATGTGGTGGCTTGCCATGTGCTGCTTCTGTATCTGCTGTACCAGCATGTGCTATAGACTGCATTTTGTCGGCTGCAAGCGGTGTCGGGTGTAGATCAACTGATTTTAAGTGTCAATGTTCACCATCTGTAGCCATTCAGAATGCTGCTTTGAATCGTGTCCTGGGCAGCTGTGGCGCGGTGACTGGCGTAGGTGTGCTCAGCTCGGTATCGGTGCCCTGTGCATGTGTCACTGCCAACGCGACTATTCCATGCTCGACGACCGTCTCTTCAATTCCGCTGTTATCAACTAGCCTCATCAGCTCTGGCTCCAGCAGTATTATGAGTTCAGCAGAAAGCTCCTATTCAGCTTCTATTCCTTCATCATCGGCGGCATTTACCGCTGAATTGAGTTCAACAACCGAATCCTCGACACCGTCATCTTCTTTCGCGTTTACCACCACTTCAAGCATTACCATCAGTAGCTCTTGCAGTATTGACACCATCACATCCGATTGTCGGCCCGTCGCAACGTCAGCAGTACCATATGTGCCCAATCTTGCTTCAGCAGCTACGCACCAAGCGTTGGTTGTGCGGTCACGCACTATTCGTGTCAGTTCCAACCCGTGGCACAGGCATCCCTTTCACATCTATTGCTTCCGTGTGTTGTTGCAGGATGTGCAAACTCTGACCTTCCCAACGTCATAAATGGCGCGGCTTCGGTCTGCGCATGCGCGACGAGGCCGCCAGATACGATCGCCTCTTGCGCGACCGTTAGCGCCACATCTACTTACGGCTCCTCATCAACGGTGACGTCAAATGAGAGTGAAGTGGCAGTTCCGTCGGAATCTCGAGCTCTCTGTCATGTCCCGGCAGTGGATCGTTAACGTTGACTCATTCTTCTGAACCCTGCTCAAAGTCAACGAAGACTGGAGGTGAGAGAAGTTCAGAGGAACCAACGACTATCAGTAAAAGTCAAATTTCGACGGCTACAACTCCATGCTCCAGGTCAAGTAAGATCGGTAGTAGTGAAGGCAGCTCCGAAGAGGCTACAACGGTTACTGATATTGAGGCTTATACTACCACTACTCTTTGCACCACATTGACGGGTGGCAGCCCAGGAAGCAACAGCAATTCTCAGAGCAGTGGTCACATTTCGACTGCTCTACCATCTCAGAGCGATGGTGGAGGTGGGACTCAAGGCGGCGGAGCCGCGCCGACACTTAGTGGGCCAACGTCAATAGTTTCTGGCAAGCAGCCCTATATCTGGTGGAGGACCAGGCTCTGGTTCTGGTTCTGGTTCTGAAGTTTCCGAGAGTTCCGCAACGAGCAATTCACTTGGTAGGCCATTGCCCACTACCGCTGGAGCTCCTGGGGTCGTAACGGCGGGCACTAAGCGTCAATATGATCTCGATTCAGCAGCTACTTTGCTGCAGGCTATATTCATTGCTATATTCTTCGTATGATTATAGCGTTGTTATTTGGACTGTAGTGGCGGCTCTTCATAATTGGGTAAACCGAAACTGAGCAATTCTATCTAATGTAATTTCACAATGCTTTTCAATTCGGTAATCACCATCGCTATGTTGTAAAAGCATGGTCTGATAACTGCCTGTAAGAAAGAGATAAGACTCAAAATCGCTGAGTTTCCCGAGAATGACTTGAACCGTAAGTACCTGTTGAGAAGTTACCTTTCAACAGTACTGCCATTATTTACATCTGAAAGTTAACATGAGATGCTATATACGAAATGATATATACAAGTGAAATTTGAGGCTCAATGAATCAAGCATGGCTCTGAGACAGAACAGCCCGGACGTCTTGCTTTCTTGTTACTAGTCAATGCATTTAACTTGCCAATGTAGTAATGGCTTAGATTGTTGGCCATCCATCAGACCCCCAGTTCAGGATGTTCCACCCAAATTTCGATTGTGAATATGCCACGCCAACAGTTGGATCCACTATTGCCGTCAATAATAGATCAGAGGCGGGGATCAGAGTGTTTTCAAGGACTCACGATAATGATAGTAGAAGACATCCCCGTATGTAGCATCATGGAAGATTCCTTGTCCACCAGGAGCGTAGACGTTATCATGGCTTGCAAGTACTGTCGTACCGCCACCATTGGTACACGAAATGCCGCTCTTATCGACGAATGGACCAGTGGGACTGGTACTCCGGCATACAACAACATGGTACTCCTCTCCTGCTGGAGGCTTTGGCGAGTAGGTGCAGCAGTCGCCGACGCTTAAGAAGAGGTAAAAATAGCCTGCATGTAACCACGTGAAAGCACCTTCAACCTGGTGGGCACCGGCAGGGTTGTAGGCAATCTGTGCCTGATTACCTGAAGCAAAGATGTAGTCTCCATTGATCGCAACTTGGGCTTGGTAGATGTCGCCCCAGTAAGAGCCCCACTGCAAGTAAAATTGGTCTGCGCCAGTACCATTGACTAGATTTGGGTCTATGGCGTTATAAGGCTTGCTCGAGTCAGAAGCAATCACGGCCCCATGATCCGTCCAAGTTCCTGCATCCAGTGTCTTAGATGTTGCATAGCCAATGGCTGATGTCTGCGAGCCTGAGGTCGAAACGGAATAGAAAAGATAGTAAGTACCACGTATATAAGAGACATCTGGAGCCTATGTCTGAATGAGCAAATAATTCCTGATATAAGCGTAGCACCGCATTTATACCCATAGTTCCGTATTGCCAGGCAGATTTATGACACTGCTTCCGCTGATAACACTTCCCGACCGCGTCCACGGCCCGGCCAAACTAGTCGCAGTCCATATTCCAATCCCATACAAGGTCGAAAAGCGAAAATATTTGCCATCAGCACGCTTGACAACAGCAGGATCATGTGTGAAACAGTCGCCAGAGCAGCCCAGGGGATTTGTATACGCCTGAACAAGAGCCGACATGCAGGCCCATGACGCTGCTATCAGGTTAAACGAGAACTTCATAGTGAGAGTAGGTAGTGTCTGAAGACTACATTCATCGTGCGCGTACCACTATCTTTTGGACAAGACATCTTAATTATATCTCTTTAACGTGGCCGGGACCCACTAACACTGAAGCACCGCATCATACTACGTTTTACTCTACATGTGTTTGGGGGGCTGTGCCGCAAACTACCTTGTCACTTCAGAGTCGGCCCTATATAGGCGGAAAACGAAGCATTTAGAGCTGAATGACCAATGAGAAGGCCTATATGTGGTTCAAAACGTTACTGTCTGTCTTCTAAATGGACTGTTCGAACGCATCCGTGACACTACAGTGAGAAAGGTATTGTCTGGTAATGCGATTTCTTTCTGAAAGTCTTGTTGATGGATTGACGCGTGACCCTAGCATCACATCGGGCCCCTCATTGAATGTGCGTGCACGGCACAGCAACCCCTTCAGACGGTTATAATCCTTTAAGTCGGCGGTAGCGTACACTCTACACGACCAGCGTCATGATACCCTGACTAGGTTCTTCTGTTAGTAAGCCTCCTGGAACTGCCAACACGCCATGATGTAACGTAGTCCATGATTTTATCGGCGAAATACCTCTCCACAATCTTGCCATTGATCTAGCCTTTCTTATCTAGTAAACCTCATATCACACACCTGCTCGACTATATACCCCTCCGCCTGGTTCTATATCAGCTTCTATGCATTTTGTAATGAGACAAGCAATGAGTTCCCAATGATCATGAAGTCATTCATTATCACTATTTTGCTCGGCGTTGGTGCTTTAGCATCACCAAGAGTATGTGTATTCTCATCACAATGAGGTTCTTCTGATTAACTTGATATGCTCAGAGTCTCATCGGTCGTGATTATGATGTGTATCCTTCTAGGCTTACCTGGACGGGGGCAGTAGAACTTGGTAAACCAGACATGAGTTTCATGGGCACCGCAGAGGTTTGTACTTCTGACTACCTGTTTTACGAATCATCTCTGAAATGCGACTCCAGGAAATATACCAACAGATCATCCAAATCAACCCCAATTATGATACAGAAATTGGTATCAACAGCCGAAACTCGACTGTCCAACCAAAACAATCAGCTGTGATTGATAAGCGGTCTCCCCCAATTGGCCCGACGTCAAGCGTACGCTCGAAGCTCTTTGCTCTCGCTCTCATCTCATCTAGATAACCATCATTCTGACACGCCTTCCAGAACTATGTTTGTTCTTATGGAACTTACGTTAACGTTGACGGAATTGATACAGGGTCAGTTATCTCCTTTTCTGTCGGACCACCGAAGTAACTCTAACTTCTTGGGAAGCATCACGTCCCTATATCAAATAGGCACCGGCTCTTGTACAGCTCCGCCGGGCTCACCAGGTAATGGAGGCTGCACGCGCGTGACATGCTCTGGCGGATCCGGTATATGGCTGTGTAATGATCAGAGCTCTACTTTAACGGTGCCGTGCCAGCTTGTCGCTGAGTAAGTTATCCAATTTGGCATCGAGTGCATCATGAACTGAACTAGAGACAGTAATGCCGTCGAGATACTAATCAAATGCCAATACACAAACTTTGTGAGCAACAGCTGGGTTTCATACGTTCGTGGCCAGGTAAGTATTGGACATTATCCGTATGTTCTATATCAGTACCATCTACTAAAGCCACATCTTATAAGATATTCTCAATTAACAGCGCGTGGAATGTCATAATCAATACTCCAGGCGCGAGTTGTTAATGGTTTCGAACTATTTCAATACAGAGTGCACATACATTTTGAGGATCAATATCAGGGACTCGCTTTGGTCACATAAGTTACTTTCTCCACGTATTTATAGCTATTGTACATATTCATAGCCCTTATACATACAGTTATCAGTCATCGGCTTAATTCATTCTATCGCTGGCGCTCATGCAAGGTGAAACCGATGCTTAGATATTTCCACGCCTGAATGCATCTAATCGAGGATTAAGACACATGCAAGTCATTTTTTGCCTAAAGAAGTCACTCGAGTCAGTGCTTCCCACCCTCCTCCTCTATAAGCAACCTATCAGAAACCCATAGGCTGTCTTAGGACTGCCAAGAATCAGAGTTAGTCACAGCAGTGGCACAGCTCGCAGGAACCGTATAGGTGTGATTGGGGTCATTCTCCCAGGTCACGGCGCCGCTGCTGGCGACATTGATATACTTGTACTGGATGACTTGACCCGCCGTAAGGTTGATAGTAACTCTCCATAGCGGGTTCGAAGATGTATATTGGTCGGCTGAGAGCGCGATAGCTTTGCTTGTATCCCAGCCGCCGAGTGCGGCGATATCGCCGACGATCTTGATAGTCTGGCCATACTGTGTCGTAACGAGCTCGTTGAAGGTCACTGCGACTGAAGTCGCCGCGGCACATGCGGTAGACGTCGTGCTAGATGTTGATGAAGATCCAGTTGCCCGGGTTGTCGAGGAGCTAACGGTGCCGGTGGGAACGCCAGTGGTCGGAGTTTGGCTGGCGGGGAAGCTTGTAGCAGTCGCGGAGGTGTATGATCCTTGGATAGAAGTTGCATAGCAATTGCTAGGAACTGAGATAGCGGCAGAATTGGCCCAAGCGGCCGGAACGACAGAGCGACGTCGCTGAGCCGCCGATAAGATTGAGGCATAACTCCATGTGAGGTCCCTAGCCGACAAAGGCGAGCCATCGGACTTGGAGAATTGCTCTGCCAGGGAGCCATTGGATTGGGCATAAGTGGCACCGATGTTGATATATCCATCTGCATAGGTGGTAACCGCACTGATGATAGAGTTATAGGTGGTTGAGCCGGAAGCATATGTGCCTGTGTTGATAGATGACACGAAGTCTCGGAAGAACGCAAGTGAAGTCGAGGTAACGGTGATAGACCCCTGGCTCTTCCACACGTACAAGGCATCATATAGTTGCTCTGCCGCAGCAAAGGTGTTCAGATACCACGGGTTGCCGTTGTAGTAGCTGTCTTCGGGGTAACGGCCAACTGCGACAGCAGAACCCTGAGCGATTCCGCTATTGATTGAGTAGATCGAGCGGAAAGAGTCAGTAACGACCTTATGATTAGACAAGGCCCTGTCGCTGCAAGGTTGGAAGGTATTGGCATCGCATCCCAGGCTGGCATCAAAATTATGGATGGATGTCAAAATTGAGTTGGCGTCCTTTCCATTGCGGTTGCTACCACCGTTGATGTTGGAGATAATGTAACCTGAAGACGAAGACCAGAATCTCTGCTGGAAACAGAGAATCTGAGGAGCGATGGCATCACAAGCGCTGCAGGTAGTTCCAAGAAGCGTGGCTAGGGCACTACCTTCAACAAGGGCTCGATGTTGGCTGGCAACAGTGAAGAAGCTTGAACCTTGCACTTCTTCCCATAGATCAAAACCTGTCTGGTTCCAGTATTGGGCCACGTACGCCAGGTCATTTTTGATGACTGGCCACACAACAGAGCTGGCGGTAGAGGTATAGCCATTGTTGACGAGCCACTTAGCATAGTGGATAAGAGATACAGCCCGCAACGCTGGCCCGTCTCTTTGTGGACGACCTGCCCCTTGTTAGCGACTGGAAATGTGGCAATCTGTTGGCTACATACCCCAGGCACCAGTGAAAGCTCCCATATTGACCAGGAACTTCGGCTCTCCAAGTCCAGATCCATCAGAAAGAGATCCAGACGGATTGCTCACGCCCTGTAGTTTAGCCTGGCCGACGATATAATTTTGGATGTTCGTCTGGAGATCTGCATCATACTCCTCAAGAAACAGATCAATGATTGCTTTGAACACGAGTGCTGCATCTCTAGTCCAATGGTAGTAATCTGATAAAAATTAGCATCAAATTCATGTTCATCGAAGTCAGTTTCTTACAGTCCGGGTCTGCCGTGCTTGGAGAGGCAATAACGAGCCCAGAGCTCACGCCGGACGAGTGACAGCCATTGGGCCCAATGTTGCACAGGAGCTGGGCCCGAGCAATGGGTAGCTCCGTGCTGAGCCACGTATCGACATTCACTCTCTTTGACAACTCTGCTGGATGACCAAAGACGGCCTGACAGGCGAAGCTGCCGAGGGCGAGGAGAGATGAGAAGGCACGCATGATGAGTGTGAACTGTGAACCGATGCTACTGCTGATCAACTATCACGAAGACCTGAGAGTTGAGCGGTGAGATTTATAGAGTCCCGATAGCTCTTACAATGACGCTAGATCGGTACTCCTTTTGGTGATTTTGGACGTGTGTGAAGCCACATGCAATAGCGCCGGAGAGAGGTGAGCTGGAGCGCGGCAAAACAAGGTCGCATTCGGCCGTGTTGTAGGTTGGCCCACCTCTCTGAATGTCGGCCCTTTATCGGCAGGGTTATTGAAGTATCAACAATGAGGGTCTGCACAGAAGATTAGTGCCAAGACAGCTTTGATCGCTCTTCAGCTTGAGCCGGTACGACGGATTGAGGGCAGGAGAGGAAACGGCAACATCCGTTCTCTCATCATGCCTTGAACCAGGATCATGACGAACAGAGTTTGGCTAAGGCTGCATTTACAAGTTACCTGTGCAAGAGCTGTAAGCTCTGTTCTCCGGCTAGGGAATAGCAACACAAGTAAGACCAGGAACGCGGACAGATCCTTCAGGGTTGTCGGAGTTCGGTTGCTCTCCGTTGGGTGCAACCTGGAAAGCTTGGGTCCCGCAGAATGAGGAACAGGATGAGCTCCCAGGAGTATCGATAGCATCCAGCTGCTCAGTGGCATGGCACTTGGCGGCTTCTGAACCCAGTGCAGTATGTGCTCCGGCACAACTGAGTTAGCTCCGGCTCTTGGGGCCCCGGATCAGACAGATATGGGATAGATAGCCGATGCGGGGACTCCCCACATCGCGTTGCGTGCTTGGAAACGGCCGAGAACCGTTGGAACTACCTGTAAACTTTGTTTGCTCGGGCCTGTCACTTGACATGTGGCATTGTCATAGTATATTGTGGCGGTCATGCGGGGAAGGTCAGCTCATGCGGAGTTGTCTCTCGACTGAGATAGCTGTGCGCCTCCTCAGCTATAGCAAAGCTGACTTAAGCCTACCCCAATTCTCTCAGGAGGGTGCATGAGTGTTTCCCCACAATCAGGAAAGGTCGGATGCGCTCCAAGGATAAAATCGGACCGACGATAACGGACTCCAGATCCTATGCTACAGCAGAACGGTGGTGGCAGATGACAAAGATAATTTTTCCGTCTCGGCCAGTTACTAGAGTCTTGTTGCCGGTGGCTTTGATTAGTGCCGTCATTTGGCGATGCTGAATTGTCGATGAACAAGTCTTATGGTAGGCGCAAGCAGTATCTGGGGAATGATCGCCCTAAATCGGATCAGGTATTCACGTCATCGCTGGCTGGACCTTGCATTCTTGGGCGACCAACTCTTGAAGGTCCCGGATCCGGGGCTAAGATGTCTGCAGCAATGCGACCGAATTAAGCCCGGTCTGGAAGGACCAATCAGTATTGACGTTCGTAACCAAACGTGCGATTCGCAGCAGTCAATTCACCCCAAGTGGAAGGCGAAATAGTGCTATATGCTCTGGGATAGGCCGATGTAAGGCTGAAACACAGATCTAGTCCTTCCCCTGAGGATGGCATATCCCCTGACCCACCACATTCATTTCCACCCCGTCAGGAGATGAGGCATATTCAGGGCAGGACACCCTCGGGTATCGTGGACAAACGACATGCATGAGAAAAAAGCTTGGCTCTTGTGGAGCACAGATGTCAAAAAGGCCCGAGCTCGTTGTTCACAATGGCAGCAGATGAAAGATCGGTATTTGACAATTGGCAGCGCTCGCTTAAGAGACGGCAATCTATATGAACCTGGTTGTGTGACACGGGAGAGCAGGTGGCTAAGTACGGGGTATGTTGTGGAACTTGTGGGGAATCGGGCCGCATTTGAGTGCGTTTCCACCCATTGCACCTGACTAGAACTGCCTTGAATGTAATTCATAGGACCGAATGCCTCGTCATCGTTGAGTTGATAGTAAACCTCAGTCATCATTGGCAACGGCAGAAGATGCAGCCAAAGTATCAACTGTTCACGATCCGGCCATAAAAGCATCGGTCTTGAGTGGATTGTGGCTTGTGGCTTGATAACTAGTTCGCCAGAGAAGTGCAGTAAAATTGCCGACAGGATGATGAGACACGTCTTTTCTTTGCTGCTTACAGCTCTCTCTGCTGCTGCTTTGAGTGCGGATGATTGGGCAAAGCAGTCCATCTATCAAGTTCTGACTGATCGCTTCGCCCGGACTGATGGCTCAACATCTGCGTCTTGTGATCTCTCAAGCTATTGCGGAGGGTCATGGCAAGGACTTATCAACAAACTTGACTACATTCAAGGAATGGGCTTTACAGCGGTAAGACGCTTTCTTGAAAGAGTTCTGCTGTACATACTGATATGGCGTCAAAAGATTTGGATCTCACCCATTGTAACTCAGATCTCAGCTGCAGGCAATACAGATGGGTGAGTGAAGTGTGCTCCAAGACGAGGAAGAATTAACTAATTATCATTCAGAGACTCTTATCACGGTTACTGGGCAAAGGACTTCAATAGTCTTAATAGTCACTTTGGCACCTCAGACGACTTATTGCAATTATCTACGGCATTGCACAACAGAGGCATGGTATGAACAGCTTGCTCCACTTTGGCTCTAACGGACATTCCACTAACAGAACAAGTATCTGATGGTTGATATTGTCACAAATCATATGGCATATCCAGGATGCCGGACTTGCGTTGACTGTAAGTGCTGAATCCAAAAACTTACAGGACCATAAAGTATGAGCCGTTGACTTTGTTTGTAGACTCGACACTCAATCCATTCAATTCGGCATCTTATTACCACACGCCTTGTGAGATCGATTATTCAAACACAACTTCCGTTCAACAGTGCTGGGAAGGAAGCAATAATGTAGCACTTCCAGACCTCAGGACCGAGGACCAGAGTGTACGAAACTTTTTCGATCCGTGGATTGCATCACTGGTATCTACGTACAAAATCGATGGCCTGCGGATCGATAGTGCTAAACACCAGGAGACTTCTTTTTGGCCAACCTTCAGTGGTAACTCGACTGTGTACATGGTTGGCGAAGTCTATGAGGGCGATCCAGATGTGTTTCTGCCCTTCCTGAGTGTCTTCCCTGGATTGCTCAACTATCCTGTGTGGTACTGGCTCCAGCGTGCCTTTGAGTCGACCAGTGCCACAATGACCGAACTCAACACCGGCATCGCAAACATTCGAGGCAAAACTACCAAGACTATCTACTTTGGTTCTTTCAGTGAGAATCATGATCAACCCCGAATGCCTGCATGGAGTAGCCAATCAAGTGACACTGCACTGATCAAGAATGCCATCGGCTTCATGATGCTCATGGATGGCATTCCAATCATCTACCAGGGTCAGGAACAGAAGCTCACTGGTGGCACTGTGCCGGCCAATCGCGAGGCCATCTGGCTCACCGGATTCAACACTCAAAGCGAACTGTATCTGTGGATCACTCAGATCAATAAGTTCAGAAATGCAGCCATCAGCATCAATAGCGGCTATGCTTCCTCCCAAGCCACCTCATGGACACCTGATAGCAAAACAATTGCATTGCAGAAAGGTCCGTCTGGCTATCAGACAGTCAGCGTCTTCAATAACATCGGGTCGTCTGGCAGCAGCTATTCTGTCAGTCTGGCTTCAAGCAACACTGGATTCAGTGCCAGCCAGCAAGTGGTTGACGTGATTGGCTGCACTTCCTATACCACTGACAGCAGCGGAAATCTTGCATTTACGATGACAAGTCTGCCGAAGGTCTTTTATCGCTTGGACAGGCTCACCGGCTCGGGCATCTGCCCGTCGCTGACAGGAGGCACTACTTCGAAGGCATCATCTACGGCAACAACTTTGGTCACACGTAAGAACTCCGATTGATGAACCAGCACGCATGCCAAGATGTGTGGGTTTAACCAGAAACGCTAATCATTGCTCAAGGTACGTCCAGTACGGCAGCGTGCTCGACGCCAACATCCGTAGCCGTGACTTTCACAGAACAGGTGACGACCCAATACGGGCAGACCATCAAGATGTAAGCCATCTATCACTTACCTACTAAGACTGAAAGCTAATCGTCTCCAGTGTCGGCAACGTTGCGGCTCTCGGGAACTGGGATACAAGCGGCGCAGTTGCTCTGTCCGCATCGTCCTATACAACAAGCAACCCGATATGGACTGGAACCATAAGTCTTCCAGCCGGTCAGTCGGTTCAGTACAAATTCATCAACGTCGCGAGCAGCGGCACAGTGACCTGGGAAAATGACCCAAATCACACCCTGAGTGTTCCAGCAGCTTGTGGAACGACGACACTGGCCGTTTCGAATACTTGGCAGTCGTAGGAGACTCGTGTCTTGATTGAGCCTTTGCACTCTTCAGCATGTATATATTTGACAGAATATGGGCCACTCAAATCCAGCTAGCGATGTATACTTTTGTTGGAGGAGATCTACAAATCATTTGTTCTTCGAATGTGTTTCTACTCACACGATCAAGATTCGATGAATCATGATCTTGCATAAGGCTAGCCGAGAACAGTGATTCTAGAACGCCTTTGTGGCGTTTCAAGCTGAGGCTGAAATTTGTAACTTTCAGCTTTGCCTTTTAGAAAGTCTCTTGAGAGAACTGAGCTCGACGGGGTAAAATATCCCCACGCAATTTGCCAGGTTAGTTACGTGTTATAATGCGCTGGAGACACATCAAATAGAGGAGCCTCAGGACAGACCTCCATTGAAATGAAAGGTGACAAGATGACGGACACCAGCGCTGCGAGCCCCACGCGGGCGATGAACATTCTTCTCCTTGGGCCGAGAGGAGTAGGTAAAACAACATGGATTAATGCAGCGCTAAACTATTGCAAATATGTGTCTCTACAGGAAGCTTTGAGAGCAGATGGCCTGGTATACGCAAGCCCCTCGGTGTTCAGTGCGCGGGCGATTGAGGGAGAAAATTCCGTCCCAGTAGTTGTATCAACTGGCTTTGATGAAGGCAAGAGAGTCAAGAATTTGAACGATACAGTTGAGAGGCTTGAGCCTACAGGCATACAGTCTCGCACGCAAAAGACCACGGTGCACTGCTTCAGGCTTGGCAACTCGGCAATCCGCTTCATTGCATTGTGATCTTCATCGAGTCTACATGGACAGAGCTGAGATCAAAGCTTGGTTTGCATTCTATTCTCTCACACCTCCATCTCAAAACGGCAGACAATATTGTATTTGGCTTCACCAAGACATCAAAGACAAATTTTCTTTCTGGAAGGACCGTCTACCCATTGCAGTCGTGGTTGAATGAATACGCAGATTCCGGCCTGGAGTTGACAGGAGAGAGAACGTTCTGTTTCGACTCAGAGGCGTCCCGTTACCTCGTGGCAAACAGGCAGGGCTCTGATCTTGGGGGCCGGAGCGACATGGAATATAGCTGGGAGCACTCGTCCACCGAGATGAGGCGCATGATCGACTATTTTGCTTCGGCTCGGCCGCATCAGCTGGCCGAGACAGCTGAGCATGCCTATACTCGCCGCATTCTGCCCATCCTAGCAAACCAGTTGTCTGAGTCTGAAATGATGATTAGAACTACAATCGCCTTGCTTGAGGACCAAAACCAAGGCGTGGTAGATCAGCAGCGGATAATACGGAGCCTTCAGCAGAAACTCAAGGTCCAAAGAATCCTTCTCCAGTCAAAACCCCTCGACAAGCCACGCACGGTGTGTAAACATCTAGACTGTGTCGAGTACGTTGACGACGGCAGCGGAGACGGAACGATTATCCCCAACTACAAGAGCCACTGCCACGAGCCGTGCTACGACATTGGACCGGTTCAGCTGGACTGCGTTGGCCATCCCGGATTACTCGATTGCGCAGCATTCAAGCAAGGAGAGTCATGCATCAAATGCGGCCATCACTGGTCAGAGCACTTGCACGTGTTATATGAGATTGTGGGGATACCGACGGAGGTCGTGGATACGGAAGTCGAACGGATGTTGGCCCTTGCAAACGATCAACTTCAGGTGCAAGAAGAAGCGGTGAAACGACAAGAACATAGAAATAAAGTATACCAGGAGGAATTCAACATTATGAAGACAGTCGAGTCACAATCACGCATTTTTTTGGGGCGAAAGTCCTTCATGACTGGTCGTATGGAGAACACCCAGGTTCGGAAAGTGTTGCCAAAGTACCCGCCGTCCATGACCTTCACGTCTAGTATGACGCCTTTGAGCAGTCGGACCAGCCAAGAAGAATATATGGACCCAGTGGGACGCAACTATGGGAATACGGAGAGTGAAATTAAGGTGAGGATGTTGGTGGTGTCCTTGTCGAAACTGAAGGAAATAGGCCCGTGCTTGAGTGACAAGCTCCAAGAAGACAACATGACGCCAAATTCCGTGTATGAGAAGGTCCATGATATTCGATAACAGCAATAAGGACAATGACAATTCAAGTGTTCAAGACTAGTGTATTAATACTACTAGCTACTAAGTATTCCGCCCTGTAAATGATAATAGACCGAACAATGCAGCGCGAGCCGTCATGGGTCTCATCCCTCATCCCAGTCGTCCCTCATCCTCATCACGCATCACTCATCCCGCCCAGATTACCTGTAGAAAGAAGCCGATTAAGAACCCAAGGTATACCTAATTCCCATTTTATATATATTCAGGCAGGAAATGGACCAGCCACCCTGCCTGTCTGTCTGTCCGACCTTCCTCCCAGCAGGGGTACTGTGTAAAACCCCCCGATTCCTTGCCTCCTCCTCTCTAACATCCACCGTACCGAACACCGCGCTTCCCCAGCTCCTTGCGGCCTACAGGATCCTCGGGCCACACCCATCCACGAGCTCGCTTCGCCTCTCGCTTCTCCGCCAGCTGCGGCTGCGGCATCCACGCATCGCGCGCAAGAGCCTTGCGGCGCGTGCCCTCGGCAGGAGCGCCAATCTCGCTGCGCCAGTGCGCGTGCCCCATGACGGGCTCATCAGACGCGAGCATGCACAGGCCCCAGAGCGCCAGGCAAGCCGTCATGTGCATCTCCTGGTGGCCGGACTGCTGCGCGCCATCCGCGCCCTCGACGTTGCCCTCCTGGGAGGAGGACGCAGGCGCGGGCACAGCGCCGCCGCTGGCCGCGAGCTGCACGGTGCCGACCTCGAGGTAGCCGTAGTGCGGCGTGTGCTCGGCGCCGTTGCGCACGACGACGAGCTCGATCTCGGTCAGGATGAAGCCGTAGCGGCAGCCGTGCTCGCGCATGGCGTGGTGCAGGTGCGCCAGCCCGCGCAGGTACTCGACGCGCTTGACGTTGCCCTCGACGCGCATGCCCGTGTTGAAGCGGTCGAAGCTCTTGACCAGCCCCACCACGCGCGCCGTCGGCTTGCCGCCGAAGATGGCCGCCGCCGTCGCCGCCTCGCCCGTCATGTTGGCGATGAACATGTGGTCTGACGAGGTGGAGGCGCTAGCAGCGGCTGCGTGTGAGGACTGCTTGGAGGAGACGGACAGCTGGAGGGGGCGGTTGGAGGAGAGGGCAAGGGCGGAGTTGAGCTTGGGCAGGTAGAAGTTGGCGTAGATGGAGTGCAGAGCGCCCTCAGTCTCTGGATGCCTGGTGCTGGTCATTGGTGTGGGCAGTAGGGGTGCTGGCACTGGGCATGATAGAAGGGCAGCAGCACCAGGGAGGCTGAGGATGGTGTTGGTGCTGAAGGCAGTCCATGGTCTGACTTGCCTCACGTCCCACCAGAAGTGTTTGGTGTGAGGGTCACGGAGTGGGAAGGAGATGGTGCGCACCAGCGCCGGAGCAGGGTTGGGTCCTGTCAGGTAAGACAGGAGAGTGGTGTTCGGCGTTGGCTCCGGAGAGATGGAAGCAGCAGCAGCAAGGGGTGAACGGGCACGCGGCGCATATGGCTGCGAAAAGAAGTACGACTCTGGCTGTGAGACGACCGGCATGACCTGGGGTTGAGGTGTCGGTGTTGCACTGCCCGAAGAGGGAGCGGCAACGTACGAGGGCATCTGACGGTACGTAGGGAAGCCATACTTCTCGAGCGTGACATTGTCCAAGCTGCAAGATGATGCTCGGCGGGAGTGGCCGCCAGTGAAATCCTGTGACGGAGCAAAGCTCACAGGGGAGCACAGGAGGTTTGGCGCATTGGATTCATCCGATAGCTGGGACGAGAAAGAGACATTGGCAGTCTGCGCAAAGTTGATAGTCTCCGGGTTGGTGAAGCTACGGTGGTGCGTTGGGCGATATGCGCTCCTGTTGGCCGTAGGGGCAGGAGAAGTCCTCTGGCGCTTGGGAGGGGAGCCAGTGGGCACGGCGGAGGATGGTGCGATGGCCTGGTCCTGAGAACGGATCTTGGGCAGCAGGAGAGGGCCGTGAGTCCGGATGGGAGACCGGGCGGGTGTTGTCATGCGGGTGCTGATGGAGTCGGAGGGCGACGACTCGATGGAGTAGATGGAGCCATGTGAGCTTGAGCGGGCGTGTCCGGGATGGTAGGGCAGCTCGAGTAACGATGGGTCAAAAGAGAAGCTCGGGGGTGTGGAAGGGTCGCATGGTGGGAAAGTGAAGTCGAACGAAACGTCCGCTGCCAGACTGCAGATGTGTTAGTGCCCAGTCGGGGCTGTGCCATTGGGCGGACTCGGGTGTGCGAGCGCGAATGACATGTGGGAGATGGGCATTCACTTACGTGGACATGGTGTCGATCGGATTGTCTGCGGCGTGCCTATGGAACGGGGCCGAGGCGCAACAGGATTAGGGATTAGAGGATGAGAGAGATACTGAGAGTGTATCTGATCAGGAGACCGGCTCCGGGGATGCGTCTAGACGAGGATATGAGATGTGGAAAGGTGAAGAGAGAAGTTGCTGTGAAGCAATATAAGGATGAGGTCGTTTGCTTCACGGCCTGCCTTGAGTCTTTTTTCTATGGGATGGGCTAAACAAGAGAGACAGAATAGAGAAAGTGGGAAATGGTTGGTGGTGATGGTGATGATGAGAGGAATAAGAGACGACTGATGAGATGAAAGAGCAAGAGACACCATCAACAACTCTGTTGGGGTGGGAGGAGCGGTATTCTTATCCTCGTGCGAGGCGTAGCCCAGATCACGACCGGGTGGATGTCTGTCTGTCTGTGTCTACTGGATATTCTGCTCTACTTTGTGTGTAAGTCGTCTTAGACTTGAACCCGGCCCTGGCAGCGATCAGCCGATTTGGGGCTGGCATGGGTAGGTTGGGTACATTGGTACATTGCAGAGAGAGAGAGAGAGCTTCATTCTCTTCCTTCTGATTGCCAGAAGTCTAAAAGGCGCCCCAAAATAAACATGAAACGCGGAGTATGAGGGAACCCATCGTGCTTCATGTCGCTCGACGTCAGGAAGCAGGGCAGATGGGGCGGCCCAGCCATGTAAGAGAAGCTCGCAGTCGGCGCAGAATGGATGCTGGTCTTTGGTCGGCCGGCCGCAGACCCAGATGCAAAATCAAAATGGCCGGATACGTACCGACTGTGCCTACTGGGCGACTCTACTATGCAGTAGGTAGAGGAGAGGAGAGGAGAGGAGAGGAGAGTACGTACCGCCCCGGCTTGGTGGTCCGGGGATGTCTTCTTGAAGTGGATGTGGATGTGGTTGTGGTTGTGGTTGTTGTCGAGAAGAATAGAGGCTTCACAGTGGGAAAAGTTGGCATCGCTTACTATGTGTCGCCACCCATTGCGCCGCCATTTGTACAGTGCCGGCCCGCCCATCTCCATCCCACCGTCTCTGCTGTCTCCCTGCATCAACGGTGCATTTCGCTGCAAGTTGGCCCAAGCTCTCTGGCGCAATCAGACTCCAAGATCAAGCCAGAGCTTCTTCTTTGTCGTCCGAAAAAGGACTCGTCGACAAGGGGCAGGCTCGCAGGCATGGCACTAATTCCGAGAGTTGAAGCTGTCGATGCGGACATGAGAGCGCTGAGTGGCTGCTGGGCCGGTGGATTCCATGCAAGCAGCCCTGCAGCCAGGCGTCTATGAGTCATATTTAGACACATGGCAGAGCATACGGCACTACAACTGCAATGACTGCACAGAAGTATCCATCGCAGGGTCGTATCGAGCTATGCAGCTAATCTAGTGCAGCGCTCCCTGAAGTGGACTGCAAGAGCAGCCATTCTCCAGGGTCCGGATGTATCCTGCAGCCCGCGAGACGCGGTGTGGGGGAGCCGGGCAGCCGTTATCCAACGCGACTCGTCTGCTCTGCATCGCGAAGTCGAGTCGGTTCGACACGAAGACACGTTCGTCGACGTGGCCTGCGCTCCTCATCGCCTTAGGGACGCATAGGAACGCACAAGGACGCATCTCGTGCCGGAGAACCCCCCATCCCCCTCTGCTCCCATCACCAATCTACGTCTGTCACAGCTGCTCTAGAACTCTCTGAAACTGCCGCAGCACTGCGCAATATGCATATCCCGCACTGCTCTCCTGCTCTGCTACACTACGTCTGCTGACGCTGGGCGTTGCACCAAGCCCCAAGGACTGTCTGCCGGCCATCTCTGCAACGTCGCACTCCTCCGACGAGATTGGGCTTGCGTTTGGGCATCCGCGGGCATCCGTTGGCTGCCGTCGCCTCAGTAGACGCTTGCGCTTGCCGGGCTCTCTTCTCCCCTTCTCCCGCTCTCCTGCTCTCTCCCCACGATCGCCTGTTTGAGCCGTTGTATGGCATGACTATTTTTAAACGCCCCTAATAGCCCCGACTCCCGAGCGCCTGAACGGGGGAGGAGAGAAAGGGGAAGGGGCGGCAAGCGCAGAGTAAGGTAGGTTGGTACGCATAGCAAATTCTGGCCCAGGGTAAAGCGAGCGCGTACTGAGATTGCGCTCGGCTGTCTCAGACTCTAGGCGGGCTTGGAGGCGCCCGGGTACGGGTGTACACCAGTTGACGCTTAGGTAACCGCGGCGCTGGGCGGCTACAGCATTACATACATAGTACCCAGGCATGACGGGGGACATTACGGGTGTGAAGGAAACCCCCAGGTCAGGTGCTTAGTGGAACGAGGGCCAAATTACGCACGGCAGAAGCTTCGGCGGCAGCAGCCTTCGGTCAGCTCACCTGAGCTGTTAGGCCTGGTAGGACAGCGTCAAGGTAAATTACTGTAAGACCGAAGGAGCCCGCTTGGCCTGGGCCGCCGACGAAAGCGCGCGGTGAAAGTAGAGCGTCAAGCAAAGCGTCAACTACGCTGTATTATGTATACGTAGGTATGTACGGCATGTACCGTTTGATGGGTCCGGCGTAACACCATCACGGCCACCACAATCTCGCTCTCCCGATCCGAGAGAGTGTCCTGCGATGCCTCATTGGGGCCCAGCTTGGCGGCTGCTCTGGAGTGTTAGAACGGGGTCTACCGCTTAGGCCCGCTTGCCCATCCTGTCAGAGACTGAGGCATGAAAGAGACACGAATCTCAAGGCGCCGACAGCTTGCACAGCCGCACCCAAATTATCGGGCAAGCGCCGGGCCTGATTAAGCTGTCTGAAACTCGCTCGCCCAGGAGGAGGAGACAAAATGCACAGAGGTTGAAGTGTGGCAGCTGGCAGAAACCGGCCACAGAGCCACTACCACCACCCTCCTCAACTCAAAGAGTGGCAGTGCACGGTGCAGCAACTGGTCCAAGGGAAATCTTCGGAAGCAGAGAGCTAGCGGTCCATCCCGGTATTAGGTATGGCCCCAGCGCGAACTTGACGGGAGCGACATAGGCTCAACGGCGCCTCATTCGCCGGCGAGCACGCGCTGGACCCCTGACTTTCCCCATGCGGCGCGTTGGACCCGGCAGCCAACCAGATCGCCGGGGGACCCGTCGCTTTGGTGTCGCCCACCCGTCGATTGGCCTTGGTGCGTCTGCCAACCTTCGTACCTGTTATGCCCACTTTTCCAACTTTCCCAGTTGTTCGAAAGAGGCGAAAATCAGAGTAATCGATGCTGCACACTGCAGTCTGCCAGATAGACTGCAGCCCTAGCCATTTGTTTCATCGATCCGTCCGTTTCAAGTTGCTCTGAGTGACTCACTCTATGACTCCATTGACAGCTTGTGCGGGGACGCCCGTGACCGTTGAGCCAGTCGGAAAAGTCGGGAGGCTGGCAACACCACCTCTTCACGACATCGACACTTCAGATGAAGCCGAAAAGGGCAAGGTGAGGAGGCGAACTTTGCTGCTCCAACATCGCTTGCCGAACCTCCACAACTGTCGGTCTGGCTTCGTCTGGATCGACAGCTCAGCCACGTAGGTGCAGCTGCACATGACTGTTGGATGCAAGCCTCCCATGAAATCAAGGTTGAATCGACTTTCTTATCTCGCGATACCATGATGAATATGCTCGCCTCGCTTGTCACTGAGGTATCTCTGTGCAGACAGTACAGAGGGGTCGAGAACAGCCGAGGGAAAATCTCCTTCCCCATCCGGATCCGTGGCATCATGACAAGAGGGTATCCATTTCAACAGACCTGGGAAAATCGGCAAGAAGTCTATGATACACAATCAGACCGGCTAAGCCCCTACAGCTACTGTGTGTTGCCGGTCTTTGTTTCCTCTTCCCCGAACCAGTGATGCTCCGTGTTACCCGTCTATGTAGTCCGATTATCATACCCTAAACAATTGTAGATATCCGCTGTACTTTCGTATTAGACAATTGAGCCTGGACGCGTTCCTTTACGCGTCACCCACTGGGTCGACCTGGCCGCTGGCCTCACCAGCCTCATCGCCCTCGGACCCGATCGTCAGACCATCGGCGGCCTCCTCCTCCTTCGATGCTGTCTGCTCTGACGAAGAGGAGGAGGATTTCGATGCCAGGTTGGGCTCTTCGTACAGCATTGCCAGGGAGGGGTTGCCCACGCCCTGTATCTTCCTCAACGCTCTCTTCATACCTTCTAGCCTCATTCGCTCCATGACAAGCATCCCCTTGGCCAACTCCTTGATTGCCTTTCTGCCCATTCGCTCGTGCATGTCCTGCCAGCCTGCTAGTTCAGCGGCCACAACCTGCTGGGTGTATCTCAGCTCTTTGGACAAGTTATCTCCATCGATCTGGCTCTGTCTAGCACGCTCCTCCCGCTCCTCATTCATACGTTGCCTTGTGTCGTCAAGCAAGCCTAGTGGCCAACGTGTCGAGCGACTGAGAGACGAATAATTCCGCTCAGCCTGACGGCGTAGACCCGCAATCTGATTGATCAGCCTCGGAGGGCGAGCAAGTGCCGCAATGATAGCATCGACGGTGGACTGCAGAGCGACGTATGAGGCATGGAAAGTGGCATAGGGATTTGACTGCAGTGGTGCCAAAGTGCGGACGTATGCCTCGAAAGCAGCGATGTGCTCAGGCGGGAGGAAGTTGATTGTTGCAACAGCCTTTGATAGCAGAACAGAGGCGTCATATAGATCGTATGCAGCATTGCCTAATGTATTCATGCGCCGCGCAACGCTTTTTGTAGAATGATTGACGCTACGAACCATGTCGCGTGCGTGGTCAATGAATTGTTCGACTTCTCGTACGTCTTCAAGCGGCTCTAGCTCGTCCCGGACCTTTTCAGCTCGAGTTTCCGCTTTCAACTTGCTACGCTGCTCCATCATATCAGGTTGCAGATCTGGGACGAGAAAGAACTCCCACAGCATTTCGTGAGTTGCGAATGTTGGATGTGCAAGCAGGATGCGTAAAAACCAGTCCATCCGTATCTGAAGATCTTTGAGAACGGCACGGCTGGGTTTCACGGGGATCTGGAAAGGTGACCGTAAGCCCGCTAGAGACGGAATCCACGATGCCGGATTCTCCATGGCCAGCAGTTTTGCCAAATGCTCAAAATCTGTCAAGGAACGCCGGCATGTTGTGACTGCGTAACTAAATTTATCCACCGGTGCACCAGACTTGAGCACGAAGCGGACTGTGGCGTCCTCAACAAAATAGGAGCGGACCACAGCAGTAGATCTCGATTCTGGGCCAGGAGGTGTAGAAAAGAGCGTCAGATCATCGATTTTGTTGCGAACATCATCGTCCTTTGCGAGCTCAACAGCAGTCAGGCCACGCAACTCTTTTGCAGCAATGTCCACGCGTGGATCGCCGAAGAATGCGCGCACCATATCGAAGCGGCCATACTTGCTTGCGACCATCAATGGAGTAAACTTCTTCTCATTGACCGCATTGACGTCAACGTCGCATTTCTGCAGAATTCGCAGGACAAGCTGGGGGTCATTGACGATATGGAGGAGTGTGTTGCCTTTGCTGTCAACATGGTCGTCAAGATGGAGAGGCTGACCATCACCCTGTGCCTCGGTAGCAACTTCCAGTGCTTCTTCGACCATTGCATGGTAGAAAGCATGGTCGTACGATCGACACAAAGCGAAGAGTGGTGTTTGCCCATTTCTGTCCTTTTGCCGCCACGGCATGAGCCGGCCATAATGAGGGATCAGAAAGGGTGCGTGGAAAAGATAATGAGCTACGCTTCGCCCGCGAACATCTTGTCGTGACATATATGCTTTTGTCTGTGCAATATCAATTTCAGGGGCCGTTGCGAAATAGCCCAGGATGATCTCAATGAGATCCCTATGGCCTAGTTGGACAGCTGCACTAAGAAGCGTGGTTCCCTCGTTGTTGCTGTCTTGTAGAATGATTTCAGGTGAATAATATCCTCTAAGGGAGAGGAGGTATTTTAAGGCTTCGGGACGTTCGTTTTGTACAGCCATCATCGGCACGGATTCGCCGAATGAATCCTGCGTTTGAGAGAGGCGCTCAATGGAGGTGTCGCCTTCGATACCACTCCCAATCGTTCCAATACTTGTCGCTCGTGAGCGAAATGATATCTCAGATCCACTAGAAAGACTGCGCACATCCATAGCGACTCTTTTAATCCGCTTCACGGGAGGAAAAGGAGTTTCAGGGGTGAACTCCTCATCCTGATCTTTGTGAAATGGGAAGACATGGCTCAGATCAGATCCCATCGAAAACCTCTCTGAGTTTGAAAGGATGGTTGAAGATCTTCTCGAGGAGCCGTTCATGAAGCTCCAATTACTGCTTGAAGATGTTCGTCGACTGGATCGTATAGACCGTATTTCCTCGATCTCGTCTTCAATTGCCTCCTCGCTGGGTTCCATGATCTTCTTTAGTTCGCTGACATCTCCTTTCGCTGCAGCATCCCAGAGAGCTTTGTTTCGACGACTCGCACGCCGAAGACCGGATGAATCTCGGTCGAGATACGACAGTACGGCTTCAAAAGTACTGAGTGCATAGCCCATTTCGCCGCTGTCGACGTCATCAACAAAGATGAAGTGCCGTACATAGATGAACCTTGCTTGGAGGTGCTTAACTTGTGCTCTGATCACCACGTACAGCAGGAGGGAGACCAGGGTATCGGCATTGATGGCAAGAACTGGTTTCTCTGATGAAGCTGATCCTTGCCCCGGAGAATTGTTGTTCAACTGCGTGACAGTCTTCAGCGTGGATAAGAGAGTGTCCATCATCTCCTGGGGGCTCATTGCGTTGGTGATTCTCCGGAATTCCTCGATTCCCAGAGCGAGTCTGGAGATGAGCTCTTGCTTTCCCTGACAACCTCCTTCTATCACAATTCCGAGCTGTGAAACGTCGACAAAGTCCATCTGACGGATTTTAGCCTCTAGCTCAAGATCGTCCTGTCTTTTCATTGCACTCAATCTCGGAAAGAGAAGGTGATGAACATTTTCCGTGACATAACGTTCTATAAGTCGTTCAACAACAGGCCCGGTAAGATCTGTTGTAGCACCAAGCAATGATAATTGTTGTTTATCAACACTTTGGAAGAGGTCTATCGCGTTCGTCACGGCCGTCTCGAGCGACGCGCGCATCGCTTCCTCATCATCTTCCGCATAGAAGTTTTCAGTACTTCTCCTACCTTCCTCGCCATTGGTGGACGATCTGTTATGCGTACTATTTGACCTGGCTTTTCTCACAGCTGCAGCGATTGGGCCGTCTGGCGTCGGATCAGGAATATGCATGGCGGAAGGTGGCGGAGGAAGAGGTCGTTCGATGACGGCCGTGAATTCCCGAAACAGCTTTTCCAGTCCTGATTGCATCTGTCGTGCAATGATAGGGAAATTATTCAGCAAGTCATGAAAGCTCTTGATCTCCTTCTTCTTGGGTCCCGCGGTTGTTCCGTTAGATTCGGATTGTGATGATGTACCGTTTCGTTGCAATATGGGTGCCTTCCTAACAGTCTCTGTCAGGACCGCCGGAGTGATTTTGACCTCCTCCCATGATCCCACCAGAGGTCGAGAAATGTAATAGATAAGCCATTGCTTCGGTTCGAGAGTATCCGAATACCATATTGCATCGCTTAGGAGGTTCGCGGAAGCTAGATTCTTGAATCCTAGAGAGTGATGTTAGTGAGGCATCGCCAGAGGGACTAGGTTTCTTTCCGGACCTTTGTTTGTGTAGATGACATTATCTTTGATCACGACACTCCTGCCATTGATTGTATTGTATTGCTTCGCCTTCCCTCTCATCTCCCGCAGATTTGTCGTTGTTTCCCGACCTCCGGCGCCAGGGATGGACTTGGGGTCTGGTATGCGCAGGACATGACTTCCCAGGAATTCTTCCGAGCCAACGGTCTCCGCGATGGGACCGTTGGTCTCGGTGTCGCGTGTAGAGAGAAGCACATCAGTGGTCGGCACCAGGAGGATATGCTGGGTAGCCGGGGCGCACTGCGCTGGAAAGGTACTTTTAAAGAAAGCGCCGAGAAATGGATTTAGGGGTTGCATTCATTCGACTAATCTCCCGCGACTCCCCTGGGTCGCATCACCCGCGCATCGGGATCGCGGTTTGTATATAAAGAAGCTGCCGTAGGGTGGCTTGAAAGGGGTGACGTTGCTCGAGGCTGCCGTTGCCAAGGACTCGTAAATTCAGGGGAGCTGTCTCCAGCTTGTGGTTCTGTCGAGAGTGCGATTGTGGAAGGTCGGCGCTGCTGATGAGATGAAGAATGTCGAAGATTTGCGCATTGAATGACGATGATGGGTGATCGCCGTGATAACTCCCTATCGCGATCTCCGAGCTAGGTATCGCGCACGCCGTCGTCAGGCAGTTCAGGAACAGAGGGCTCGTATTGGTTGAGGCAGTGACTTCATCCAATCACCCAGGTTGGCGGAGCTCAAGTTAGTTATCAGGACCTAGGTAGCCTAAAGTTGGTAATGTAGGAAGCTTGGACCCCAGTTAGCAACACCCCAGTTCCCAGTCTTTTTAAGACCATCACCTAAGCTCACATGCAAGTGGGCCCTGCCATTCAGTGTCAAAAACTGTCTACGCAGGTGCATGAGCTGTGTTCTGCGAAGACATTAGCTGATAATTACTTGACTTGGATTGTACAGGCTGTAGCATATTAATTGGCTCAGAGATTGAGCTGGCTCGAGCCGTCGCGTAGCATCGACGTTGACGTTTAACCCCGGAGTCTACTTCTCCCAATTAACTCAATCTTATTTGTGAATAACCACTTTGTAGCTCAGAAATTACTCGACAAACGTCGGGAAACCCGTGTCTTGATAAAGCGTTGCACTCCTCAAACAGTTATCATGACACGAAGAAGTCAAAGCATTTAAATAGTAGAAGATACAGCTAGCTATTCGAAGAAAGAAGGCAATACATCCTTGGTGACTGCGTTGAGAAGACATTGCTCAATCTCCCAGAAAAGACAAGCTTCAAACTAACGCCATCCCAAACTCTGAACTTTCATGGTATCAAAAACAATATAAACCCAATCACTGGCCCACATAACTCCAAGCAATGCACCTCTCACTTCATATACATGTCAATCTTCCAGATCATCTGCGAGCCTGGGGCGCCGTCTCGGAAGCCGGGAGCTGTCTACCGGCTGCGTCACGAACCGGAGCTTTACCCTTGCCCTTGCCACTGCCTCCATGCTGCCGTTCTTCTTCACTATCCCAATCGGATCCATCGGCGAAGCCAAGAGTCCCATCATCACTACTATGCCCAACCAGCCTAGGTTGTTCAGAAGAAGACCTCAGCATCCTAGACCGCTCGTCGGCATGATCATCCTCGTCGAGCAGCTCCCCGTCTGCAGTATCGTAGTCTGGAGGCTCGAGCCAGTCTCTCGGAACAACGCAGGGAAGTGCTACGCCGATACTAGCGGCTCTGTTCAGCCACCCCGGTCCAGGCCGGCCGGTCAGTTTCTCGCATAGATATGCTGTGAAGTGATTGCAGTTCTTTGTTAAGAGGTTGTACGCTGTTCCTTGAAACTCTTCGGAGGCTTCGCGAATAATCCTATCGATCTCCTGTGGCTCTGCAAGTGTGAAGCCGTGCAGGATCTCGGCCTTGAATGTTCCTCCTGGTGGTAGGGTTCTCGGCTTAGTCCAGTATACACCTGTCACGCCGCGCTTGTCATGACCGCCATACGCATATTCTCTCCCGTTTATGACGACGCCCGAGTGGAGGAGGGATGTGCCGATAGTCCATAGTACCGAGGAGAACCTGCCAGGCTACTGAAGTCAGTATATATCGAGGCTTGAGTTGGGGTGGCAATCATACAGGAAGCAGATCATATGCATTGATGACAATCTCTGTTTTCTGAAGAGACAGCGTTGATCGATGACTGTGTGTTCGGCTTGGTTTCGGCGCCTTCTTCGGTGCCATTTTGACTGGTATGCAAGGAGGCTGGAGGAGGAGCAGCGACCTATGAACTGGAAACGGTAGAGTGGAGATGGATGTAGATAACGGTTCTCAGATTCGCAAAGGAAGCAAGTGCGAAGAGCGATGCGTCATAAGTCGTAGTTTTTATAGCATAGTTATGAGAACAGTCATCTGGTGAACTGGAGTGTTCGCAGTAGACTTCTCACAAAATAATCAAGAGAGTAAAGGAGCAAAGGATGATGTGTCGATAGGCACGCGATACAATAGGACACATGAGGATGTCATAGCCTCCTGTGGCTCGGTGACTCCGCCCGCCTGGATGCTGGAACATGCCCCGAACCGATGGCCTGGCCTAGCGCACGGTCCAAGATGGCGCGGGGTTGGGCGGAGGAAAGCTTTTCCACGGTCCGTCCAGCAGGCCCCACCCTCTGAACAAGGCGGAAATTGGGGTGAAATTTTGCGACTTGGAAAAGGCCAACCTTCTGAAGCTACCCCTCTGAACAATCCACAGTCAAACGGTGATCGCAAGAGCCTCCTAGGCGAGATCCAAGCAGAGTCACAGCTTGGATACGGACAGGCTCGATTACACCATAGGCTGGCGACAGCCTGACGATCTACCACCACGACGTCCTTCTTGCGATTGCCGCATTCCTTCTCTTCTCTACCGCGATCCCTTCCCTCACCTGCAGCTAGCTCTGCAATTTTCAACAAGCCTGTGCTTAACTGCACCGTCATCTACATCTCCACTCGTCATCACAGCAGAAAAGGCAAGATGCCTCCCAAGAAGGTTGTCAAAGAAGAGAAGATTCTGCTGGGCCGGCCCGGTAACAATCTGAAGAGTGGAATTGTAGGTGATATCAAGCTATCGCGAGCTACACTAGTACTAATCTTGGATATAGGTTGGTCTGGCAAACGTCGGCAAATCGACTCTCTTCCAAGCAATTACCAAGTGCAATCTTGGAAACCCTGCTGTACGTGTCATCATGTATAAAATAGACCTAGGGCAATCTCTAACAAGACCAGAACTTCCCTTACGCAACAATCGACCCAGAAGAGGCTCGTGTTATTGTCCCGGATGACCGTTTCGACTGGCTATGCGAGAAGTACAACCCGAAGTCACGGGTTCCTGCCAACCTGACGGTCTATGATATTGCTGGTCTTACTCGAGGTGCATCGACTGGGGCCGGTCTTGGAAACGCCTTCTTGTCCCATATTCGTGCCGTCGATGCTATCTTCCAGGTCGTCAGATGCTTCGATGATGCTGAGATCATTCACGTCGAGGGAGACGTAAACCCTACCAGAGATCTAGATATCATCAGCGAAGAGCTGAGGTTGAAGGATATCGAGTTCGTCGAAAAGGCCCTCGAGAACCAAAAGAAGAAGACTCGCCAAGGCGGTCAAAGTCTGGAGCAGAAGAAGGCTAGGGAAGAGGAGGCCACAATTGAGAAGATTCTCGCTTGGCTCAAGGATGGCAAGGACGTTCGCAAGGGTGACTGGACCCCGAAAGAGGTAGGAACCCTTGTTCTCACATATAACTTCCCAGCCCAACCGCCCCTTCATGATGACAAAGGGCCATAGCGCCTGATATCTATACCCAGCTCGTCGAATGCCTCACCAAATTAACGCAGAGTGCATCATGAGATAAAAACTTCGTCTGACACCAACCCGTTATTTTCTTTACATGAAGAACATATGTTGATCAAGGCTAATCTTGAAACCAGGTCGAGGTCATAAACCCTCTGTTCCTTCTAACGGCAAAACCCGTGGTCTACCTCATCAACTTGTCTGAGAAAGACTACATCCGCAAGAAGAACAAGCATCTACCAAAGGTCGCCGAGTGGATCAAGGAGCACGCTGCTGGAGATCCGATTATTCCTCTATCGGTCTCTTTCGAGGAGCGGCTGACTCGCTTCGAGACTGAGGCCGAGGCACTCGAGGAGTGCAAGAATGTCGGTGTTGAGTCCGCCCTGCCCAAGATCATCATCCAGATGCGCAAGGTCATGAACCTTGGCTCGTTCTTCACAGTCGGTCATGACGAGGTCAGACAATGGACCATCCGAAATGGCACGAAAGCACCACAGGCTGCTGGTGTAATTCACACAGATTTCGAGAAGACCTTCATCCAGGCTATTGTGTACAATTATACTGTATTGAAGGAGTTGGGCGATGAGGCGGAGGTTAAGGCTAAGGGCAAGATGATGACAAAAGGAAAGGACTACGTCGTTGAGGATGGCGACATTTTGCTCATCAAGGCTGGTGCCGCTAAGGGTTAAACTTGGAGTACGCGTGCATTCAATTTGATGCGGCCTCCGATGGTCCGGACAGATAGAATTGCTTACATGAAATACAAAAGAGATTTCGAGCAAATTATTGAAGTAGCCTGTGATGTAGCTCTTCAAGGTATTGATGTGTCAACCTCCAAGTTTGGCGCGGAAACAACTGCAGAGCATTTGAAGGCAAAAGAGGACTGTTGAACCCGCCAACCGTGCGGTCTGACCATGACGGCCACCACTAACACATGCGAAGACTGTCTAAACGACGTTGCCGGCCATTATATCTAGGGCGTTCCACTAATTACATACGCATTGCTTGAGGATCCGTGACATCTTGAAAGAACCGAGAATGAACTGAAGTTCGATTTGATGCACCAGTCACGTTGGACATGGTCAGGGCATGGTTCTCGCACATTTCCAAAATGCCGACATGCACGATTTTCAGGCATATAGCCGTCGTTATTTGAGTCTTTCCCGATTGATTTTTCGAGAATCTCGAGTCTCAAATACGTCTCTTAGTAATATTGCGGCTTGCCGGCCGGCGCTTGGACCCTCTTTTACCGGACCCCCCCGGCCGGGCGGAAAATTTTGCTGGAAGTGTTATTCCCAGCCCGCCGTGAGTTGGATTGCGTGATTGCCCGTCCTTCACATGCTCAATTTATATGCATTCTGATGTGCAGTCAACCCGAATGTAGTTATGCACAAATCCATTGTACAGACAACATCGCTAAGCACGTTGACACGCCCTTTAGAGCCAACATCAGCCTACATCGACACATGAGGTCGCATTATGTCACTAACACTTGGCAGTGCAAAAAGATCTAAAAAGCCTGTGCTGACTGGTGTTTAAGGCGGGGTTTGAACACTCAACCCTCACCTCAGCCGCACCAGGAGTCCAGCAAATGAACACCACCACCAACACAAAAAAGGGATGCTTGATGATCTTAGATCACCATCATTGCTGATGAGAGTGGGACTCGAACCCACGCGGTTTTCACCACCAGGAAATCCAGTTAAGATATAGCCTTAACCTGGCGCCATAACCAACTCGGCCATCTCACCGATTGTTGAAATGATTTGCGGGATTTTTCATTAATAAGCTTTGAACAGTGGGGTTGTCTCCCGCGTGAATGCCCTGTAAACCACCTAGCGCATAAAGGTATGATTGGCCCAAAAGGGCCAGGGTCTTGGTGCGGTCTAGGAGCGTTATGGAATGAGCTATACCTCCAGACAAGTACTGATATACCTAGGTGTATCTGCCTTTTCTCTTGAACTCCATCATCAACGGGTAACAACACGCGATAGAATGACACAACGATATCTCGTCTTTCTTGTTTACAAACTCTTCGATTGCGACTTGCATGCTACCGGGGTCAAGGATCACTCCATGTCATCCGGTAAATCGCCGACCCCAGTAGTGGTCATCTGGGAAGGCTAATTGGACGAAGAAAATCCACTGCCGAACCTTACAGGGAACATGCAATGAACCTTGTACTCGCCAGAACTAATAATCCAGGAAGTTAATCAACATCCCATGTTCATATTCTGCACCTAGTCCAGGTAACCTAAAGGAGTGCCGGTGCATCCATTCAGGCAAAGGACAATATAGAAAAACACAAATTCCCACTAATGTCCCCTCCATGTCTTTGGCTTACGATCAGTGGATTTTGGGGTAGTCGTACAACAGGAAAGCTGACTTAATGATGCCAGTGGCTGCACCTTTGCAGTAACTCGTCCAAGAGAAGGGTGGAGGGAGGCGTCTCGGTATTGGGCATACCGGCCCCACTCCATAAGCATCACGGAGTAGGAGTCAACTCGAGGGAAAAAGCAGACATCACCAGCCACCACGTGTCAATTGTCATATCGATTGATATGGGAAGATGACCGAACTTCAAAGAGGCCATATTCTTCTGAAATATAGCAGGGACCAATAGGGGCCTCAGCAGGGCTTGAAACGAACTAATTTGGCAGTCAGCAGATAGCGTGCAATTGGCTACAGGGCACCCTTGATAGATGTCTGTGTGTTAAAGTAGGCAATACTAGAAAGCTCCCGAGGTTTTTCCCAGCGGGTTGGAACCTCATTGTGAATCATTTTATTCACCCTCAACAAGGCAAAATGCTCTCTATTATTCATATTTTTGCAATAGGGCTTCTTTCATTTGTATTATATTCCGTTGTAACGGGCGTCACAGCATGGCACCGACTTCGCAAATTCCCAGGCCCACCCTTGGCATCGGTATCTTACCTCCCTATGCTGAGGCATTCACGATCTGGCCAAGCACATCTTAAATACTATGAGATTTCTCGAAAGTATGGATCCGTCGTCCGAATCGGGCCAAATGATCTACTTGTATCTGACCCAGACTTCATCCGTCGTATGTCAGCAGCGCGATCATCCTATGGGCGCAGCTCTTGGTATCGTGCCACGAGGCTTGATCCATACCACGATACGATGGCTAGTGCCTGTGACATCGGCTTGCATGACCATTTGAAAACAAAAACTGCTATGGGATATACAGGAAAAGAAATTCCGTCCCTTGAAGCAAAGATCGATTCACAGATCATCAGCCTAGTGGGATCCTTGAAGACGAGATATGGCTCGGGGTCTTTTAGACCACTCGACTTTGGCAAGATTGCACAGTTCTTCACGCTCGATACACTTACAGCCGTAGCCTTCGGCAATCCATTCGGATTTATAGAGAAAAATGGCGATGTTCACGATTATCTCAAGACAATGGAAAATACTGTCAGCTTGTCCGCAACATTGGCAGATGTTCCCTGTCTTCAGACGATATTCCTCTCCAGGTCGATGCTAAAACTTTTTGGACCAAAGGACACGGATAGTACAGGGGTGGGAAAATTAATGGGGTGAGTTGATCCTGCAACATCGTCTCGTGTTTATGGGTATACTGATTGTTTAGTGTTGCAAAAGCTGTTGTGGCTGAGAGATTTGGGCCTGATGCCAAAGATGTGAAAGACATGCTTGTATGAACTCCTGCCTTAGTCTATAAAGTTATGCTAATTAAGATGATAGGGTTCATTCGTCCGCCATGGCCTGAACCAACGGGAAGCACAGACCGAAGCTTTGCTTCAGATTCTTGCTGGTTCAGATACCACTGCTACAGCCATTCGCGCAACACTACTACATATCTTGACATCACCTAGAGTTTACACAACACTCCGGAATGAGATCGATGCCGCCATAGTTGAAAAGAGAATATCTACTCCTATCACGAACATGGAAGCTCTTCAATTACCCTATCTTCAGGTAGATATTCACCCCCGGACCGTAGTCGCTCGTGCTTACAGAATTAGGCTGTTATATGGGAGGGTCTCAGGAGTCATCCCCCCTTTACTGGTCTCGTAATGAAGGAGTCTGGCCCCAATGGAGACTATATCGAGGGGAGGTTCATACCTCCTGGTACTCGGATCGCACACAGCACCTGGGCTGTCACTCATGATGTTACTGTTTTCGGCCGTGATGCCGATGTCTTTCGTCCGGAGAGATGGCTTGAAGCAGACTCAGCGGTGACTCGAAGCAAAATGCAAAAGCAAACTGAACTAGTCTTTGGATATGGGAGATGGGGTTGTGCAGGCAAGACTATCGCGTTCATTGAATTGAATAAAGTATTCGTCGAGGTTAGTCAATTCCTTGGGTGTGTCTATATTAAACAACTTTCCGGCATCTAATTCCTCATCAGCTTCTTCGAAATCTCGACCTCGAAATCATGAACCCAGAAAAGCCATGGCGAAGCATGAACCATAATTTGTTCGTACAGGACGAGATGTGGGTTATTGCCACCGAACGCAAGCTATCTGCAATATGATTGAACTCGCATTCCCCACGCTAGACAAATGAAGGATACGACGTCGTAATAGATCTTCTAGCAACATACATGAAACGAGATGGATTCAGTTTAATGACATGAATTCGATATGTAACAATTAATGATTAATCAATGAGTTTTCCAAGACCTGGCACCCTGATCCGGTGACTGCTTCCAGGAAGGTCATGCTGAATTGTTAAGTTGGGTGTGCAAGTTTCCTGTTAGTAGGGATGAGCCTCAAAGTGTTTGAAAAGGAACATAAGCCAATTCCAAGGTCTCCATGTTCAACGTGAAGTTTTGCACACTATGCCCGCGAAAACTCGTGGGCGATCTCGTGAAAGATATGGATCAGGCTGGGCCTAAAAGTAATACCTCAGAACTGAAGCAGGGATGTGTTTCGCAACTTTTACCTCCTGACGGGGGGGCTAATTCAGCCACCTCCTCGGCTAAGCTACCTCGCACGTAATATCTCAGCTCAGCCACTTCAGCTCCTGCATACTTCTCCGAGCGGTTTTTCTAGAAGTAGAAAGTTGGGAGGCGGCGGCAGCTTGACAATTGGTTCTATATGATTATTAGCATATGTTATAATTTGATTATTCAATGGCAGATACATACGATTGTCGATGTCCATGGCGATATCGGACATCTTAATGTACTCATTAGTTCATAGCAATATAAAGTATATTAGAGGTATAACTCACGGTGATGGTCTTGCCAGTGATGGGCTTCATTGAGATTTCTCTGGAAGTTTTAAGAAAGCTTGCAATGCGCCAATGGAGGGATTGGGAGTTACTATTGTGGTGGTGGTGGTGGTGACTAGGGTAGTGATCAGCAATATACATCTCAAGAGACCAAGGGCATGTTGCTTACTGTCAGGCATCCCCGTGTCCGTAAAGAACGACGGCGCGGATGGCGCCGTCGTCCAGCTTCCCGGCCTTGTTCTCTTTCGGACGGACAAAGAAAGAAGAAAAATTTTAAGGGAAGAGAAAGAGTCTCTTGTTCGCAGTAGACTGCTTCAAAAGTTAATGCTGCCCTTCGCGGGGGAGATCGTCAACTTTCTGGCCTCGGCGGCGGCAGGGGAACTGGGAGTTGGCAGAGATAGACCTACCGAGACGGTGACGCCAAAAGGACAGCGAACGGTGGCTCAATTGTCCTTTGCTTCTCTGAGTCACTCTGGGTGGAGCAGTCCACCAGTCACTTTCCCATTCCTTGATTCTTGTTTATGATGTCCGTTACTCTATACCCCAGCCCTTTGAATTTATTGAGCTGCACGGCATTGCAAGTTGCTCTCAGTACATTCCTTGAAACCCCGAAAAAGCTTCAATATTGCAAAATCCTACCTTTTCGCTCGCGGACTCCAAGTCACTTAATACAGCTTACCCCCTCAACATCGCAGCATTTTGTTCTATTTCGCTCAATTCAAATCAATAATTCGTGCCCATTCCGCTCCCCACCTTTGGTTATGCATCACAGTGTTTTTGCTTTCTCGAAGCCGTTCCTGTACACGTCTCTCATCAGGCATACGTTGTTTTATGTTCATCATTCACGACCACGATGCTCTCATGCTCTGTCCTAAAGACTCACTTGAATAATCTTGTTGGGTATTCACCACACATGAACGCTATTTTTGGATTCTTATGTATATCAATGCCATATATCTTTTGGTTTGCATTAGATATACTATACAAATGAAAGACTCCTTGCATTGCAATGAGTCCTAAGTTTACATAAGTCTACGATATGATGATTATTTGGAAGCTAACAAATTCATAGTCTCGCAAGATTGCACCAGCAAGACCATCACAATGTCAATATTGGCACATCTTTACTTAGAATTTTGAAATGCTGACATATTAGAGTCTTGAAAATCTTCGTCAAGGCCCTCACTGGCAAGACCATCATTCGTGAGTACCCACATTGCCTCAATTCGACTCAAACTTCACTAACATTATTGAAAGTCTCTACGTAAGGTGTCTTGAAACAAACGGTGACATCGCCTTAGGTTAATCACCCACAGAAGACCATGAATGCCCCTACCGCCTCCGAGGAGGCAGAAAGACTCTCCGCCGGTGTCCCTCCGGCCACCACCACGACCACCACGGCCCCTGCCGCCCTCGGCGAGTTCCGAGGTCAGTGTTCTTGGTGTGGCCTAAAAGGCCACATCGCGAAGGCCTGCCGTTAGTACTTGACGCCTTATTCTAAATGAGAAAGTCATATGTCACTTTCAATAACACTACTCCAGCAGCGAAGGCAAGAGGAGTGGCCCGGGCTCCGAAGCCCAAGGTCGGTCCCCGCGGCCGTAAGTTACTGCATTCAGATCTCTTTAAGAATGAGGAACTAATCATAACGTGTTTTATAGCCAAGAAGTAGGCTCCTCGAGGAGCAGAAAGGTTGTTTTGTGTTGTTTCGGTTTGGCTTGGGTTTGGCTTGGGGCATTGACCCCTAAAGTTTAAATTAAAAAAACAATATAATTCGGTGACTGTTGCCTTTCCACGCAGTTTTACAGTGCCATGTTTAACCATATGTCGAGGGTTTATATAGCTTCTTATAACATTTGAGTTAACTGATCAGTAGGCATTAAGTAAGACATTGATTTAGTGAGTACTCTATTTGTATGATAATTTAATTAAAGACACCCTGTATAGCTGGATTTATCTAAAATCTTCCGCAAAGAGTGGTGCGAAGCGGTACGCAACCAAGCCACCAGTGAAACACCCGGTATTTGTTGGCCGAAATCAAAGGTGACTTCACACTGTAGGGCCGTTTTCTTCATCAATAGTAACACCAAATTGGGCGGTGGCCATGGTGTAACTCTGATGGACAGCCGCACTGCCATATATCCTCATTTCCTTCTCGTAGGCAGCAGTGACGCCAGGCTTATAACCACCAGCTTCGCGGAGCAATCTACCAAGAAGAGCTGAATCTTGTACGGCAGTGTTGGCTCCAATGCCTCCAGCAGGAGTCATTGAATGCGCGGCATCTCCAAGGACCGTGACGCGAGGCTCATTAGGCCATTCGGGAACACCACTCGGCGTAGAACAGGTAATTTTCCAAAACGCGGCTTCCGACTCATTCATCTCGTCGAAGAGGGGCTTGAAGCGAGGATGCCAGTCTTTCGTGAGTGACTTGGCTAGATCCGCAGCCTTTTTGCCCACAATGGAGTAGTCATCATTGGGTGCACGGATGACCCCTGGCTGGCCACCCATGGTCCATCCAAAATTGACATTCGGGTCGTCCATATCACCAGCGCGAACATTTGTGATTATGAAGATGGCACCGTCGGGCCGTGTGTCATCTCGCAGCCTAAAGACTCCTTCGCCGAGTCCTTTGAAAGCTGTTGTTGGGGCTTGGCCGTGAATGCCACGGGCTCCCGTGTCATAGACCTTCAGCTTCCCTCCCGAGAGTTGCTTTGCAACCTTGGAGTAGATTCCTTCGCCACCGACAAGCATCGAACCTTCGACCGACTTCGAGCCATCAGAGAATATTGCCCTCACGCCATCATCAGTCAGTTCATACCCAGTAACACGCTTAGACCATTCGATATGGTCTTCACAGCCCTCTGCAAACACCTTACGCATCTCTCCTCGAGCTATACCTATGGTCTTGCCGCCGCGTGAGGACAGACCTTCTGGTACTATGTGCTCAGTCTGTTCTCCGGTAACGGCATTGTAGGCGGTAAAGCCACTGCCGCCTGTTTTACCGCATTTGTCCCAGAAACGTTGAAAATGTTGGGGATCAAGAACCGATTCGATGGCGTCTAAGCCTTCAGAAGAAAGGCGGAGTCGGTAGCCTTGGGCGCGAAACACAAATGATTCATCGCGTTCAAAGATCTTGAAAGGTATCTTAGACAGCCGTAAGGACTGGGCAAGCAATAATGACGCAAGACCGGCACCGGAGATTAGAACTGGCTTGCCAACCGACATGTTGTTCGTCAGAGCCAAAGTCTATCGTGATGACTTAATAGATAATTGATCTTCGTCACTTCGGCCAACAGAAGAGATTCATGAGCACAGGCGATGATATTGAATTTCAAGTTGAGTATGCCCAAGAGTTGAGAGGCTCGGCCTCGGACTTTGGTCTCCACCGAAGCATGCCATTGCTTCTTTTGACCATTCATTGTGGCTGACTCATTCAGCTTACAAATGGCGTCAACCATCACTGTCTCGTCCTGGCATTTATCAGCTTCAATAAGCATTGACCCAGATTGCGAGGGCGCGATAGCCTCAGGATAAATAAGCAGCAAACAGAATCGAAGTTATCATAATTTTTTCCCACTGCCACCACACTTTGTTGCAACAGTAGACGAGCTGCGGGGATACCTTCTTGAAACGTAAGCGATATGGGGGCAGGGGAGTGAGATCCCACGGCATGCCCGCTCAAATGGTCTGGCGCGTCGAGGAGCATTGCTTAATATGTACAAGAGATCAAAGCTATACCTATCCGCGGATTTAAAGTAAACACATGGAAATCACCATGCAAGGCGCGCGAACTTTTGATTCGATAAATGGGCCTCAGGTAATACAGCGCTAATGGTACAGCGCAAGCCCGCTAACTTTGAAGGCCTTTTCCCCCTCAATCCCCCGCATCCCGGCCCCTTTATCAAGCCTACCTGGAGACGAGAACTTTATTTCCACCAGCAGAAGACATGACATCGTCATTATCGTGCTGAAAATATCGCATTCAGTTTTGACCAGGTCCCTTTTTATTGGTTACTTACTCAATTGTATTCTGGAGCTGTGGTAGCGACCTGTGTCGCATGATTCTTTGCCTAGATTTCAGAATAGCGAAGAAGTCTGGCATAAAAAAACCTCAAATGAGGAGGAGATTGAGGAGACACCCAAATCTAATCAGATCTAATCAATCAGCAGCCCTGCACACCTCGTGTCCAAGTACGGGGTCTTGGCCCTTGGACTACGCTCCATAAATGAGACTTATTTGATCATGGTCCCTTGATGGCGAAAGACTCCCACATTTCATTCTCGAGCCTCCCTAGCTCCTTCTTGGGCAAGATTGGCTCATTTCAGGCACGCTTTTCCCGAAGAAATCAGACATGCCGCCGATTTCGCACTTGCCAAGTCCTTGATCATCTTCACTTGCAGGAACACCCAATCGTAATAATAGCACTTCATGCAGGAGCTTTTGGGTTCTCTAGAGGCTTCTTTCCACAGACCGCATAAGCGTTGTGAACAGTATCCTCTCAAGCGATAGATCCCTGCCTGGCAGAGCACTTGGTTTTTCACTGCGGTACAAACTAAAGTGGTACCCGCGTCACGGGAGGCGCCGGTGGCGCGGTTCGTTCGCTATGCTGAACGGAAATAAAAATCATGCATCTGGGGAAGTGTGGAGAGTGGACATCTTGATTGCTCGTGTAAGAGACTAAGTCAACATCTGTGTACAACCTAACTCAACTGCCCTGAAATCTCAGCCATGGTGCTGAGACTAATGCAAGCCACGACTCCAAGCTCAAGCCTGGATTTACCATATGTTGCCTCTTGTCTGGTTGCCCTTCTCGCGCTCTAGCTTCTTGACGTTGAGGTTCCTCCACACGTAGATGGATCCAAGAACCAGGGGCATGAAGCAGGCACCTGCGATGACCATTTTCCGCTGAACATCAGCATAGGCGCCAATGATGGCCTCGCGAATGGGTGAGCCATCGGGGTAGTATAGCTGTGTCACGATGCTTCCAAAGATGGTGGAGCTCAGATTCTTGCTCTCCTCTGGGAGTCGCTGGTAGATCTGCTGAGGCAGGACGTTGGTCCAGATAGCGCCTGCGACTGCGAGACCAATGGCTGCGCCAATGGATCCAAACAGACCCCAGATGGCGAGAACCACGGCCACCTCTTGATGAGTGACAGGAGCCATAACGGCAAGTTGACCGCAAGCGGCAAACAGACCAGAACCAATACCGCACATTATCTGAGTCATTGTAATAAGACCAACATGGGTAGATGGTGTTCGGAATGGGATGAGAAGTGCCGTTCCCAGAAGCAAGAATGGAACACCGGCATACGCAGTCCATTTGAAATCTCCAGTGTAGCTAATGAGGCTGCAGAAAAGTCAGCATTTGTGTGTCCCGTTACGAATGCTAGTCACTTACAGTCCGATAAGAGGCGCCAAGATGGAGGATGTTAGAGAGAACGAGTTCAGCACGTAGTTGGAAGTCGTGATGCTGAGCCTGTGAACAACTTGAAGATAAGAGCTGAAGTATGCGTTCCAGCAGCTATAAACAATGGTCAGTAAACTAGATCCATTCTTCGAGCACAAATAGAATCACACTTACAAGATGGAGGCAAACATAACTCCATAAAGCAAGCAAGAACCGATGATGGTAGGTTCCTTCAGGTACTTCCACGGTAGGAATTGAACAGGGGCAAACCACCTTTCCCATGAATAGAATAGGCCAAAAGAGAACACTCCAAGAACTTCCATGGCAATAATGTATCCGCTTGCCCAACCATTAGGGGCATATTTCGCGATGCTGAAGGGGAGCAGAACGAGAGAGAAAGCAGCAGTAATGAGAATAATTCCGACGACTAGAAGGGATCTCGTTAGTAATGCGTAAATAAAGATACGATATGAGCACGTACTATCCAATTCAAGAGTGTAATGCCAGACAGATTGCCACCATGCACGTTGTGGTCCTTCCTGGGGAAGAACACCAATCTTTGCGGCCTTTCGTTGCTCGTATATCATGATCGCAATGACGGGAACACAGAAGCCGACCAGAATAATGGCCCACGAACCGAAAGCCCAACGGAAATTGAGATGCTTGTAGTAGAGTTGGGCAATTCGCGGTCCAGCGAATGTGCTTGCAATCGTAGGGGTTCCATTAATCCCGAACATGATCATACGGTTTCGCAGACTGGTCATATCGGCCAACATGACATCAATGACATAGCCCTGGCCAATATGGCCAACCCAGAAGAGCGTATGAGCGGCAACATAAGCCTCGACTGATTGGCAAGTCGCCTTCATGATCAAACCAATGACCAGAATAAGTAGCATGAACAT